TACAATTTCCGTGTCAGGCTCAGAATGAAAAAAAAGTTTGAAAGCTGCCAATATTTCTAGATTCATATATACAGATTCTATGGGTCCATCTGAGTGAAACTAACAAAGAAAATCTTTCTGAGCCCAGACTTAAAATAGCACATGAGCTCTAGAAGAGTTTCTGCCTTTTGGGGGGGGGGGGTCTTACCAGGGTAAAGAAAGTAAGGGTACGTCTTCACTACCCACCGGATCGGCAGGTAGTAATCTAGCTATCGGGGATCGATTTATCGTGTCTCATCTAGACGCAATAAATCGATCTCCAAACGCACTCCCCGTCGACTCCGGAACTCCAACAGGGCGAGAGGCAGAAGCGGAGTTGAAGGGGGAGCCGCGGCCATCGATCCCACGCCGTGAGGACGCGAGGTAAACTGATCTAAGATACGTCGACTTCAGCTACGCTATTCTCATAGCTGAAATTGCGTATCTTAGATCGATTTCCCCCCCCTCCCCCCAGTGTAGGCCAGCCCAAAGAATATCTAAGAAAGAAAAGCCTATAACACAAAGTGTTGTGCTTGTATAATTTTGCTACATTTAAGCAAGACAGTAAGGGTTGGACTACCTGATAATTCCTGAAAGGAGAAAAAAATCTCTTTATGGCAAACCTTTGTCTTCCATTCAGCACCCAGCATAAGAAGGGCCTGTCTCCCAGACTCTTTTAAAACTGCATTGTGTATAAAATCCAAAGATCCCTTGAGTGAGTGATTTTTACAGTTACAAGTTTTAAAGAGGGGCAGAATTAATAAAGCCATTTGATAGAGTTTCTCCTCCTAGGAGACTCTAGTTCCCAGTTGTTGCTTCAGCCTGACAGCATAAATAAAGGAATACAACCTAAGACAGACCCTTTGAGGGACTCTGCAGGCAGGGAAGAAGAGATCAGAGGGCCACAATTCACAAGAACTGGATCCTCTCACTAACCAAAGAGCTAAAATTAGCCTTTTCTACAGACCTCCAAGTCTTGAGCTTTTCTAATACCCATTGACTGGAATAATACTTTAAAGAGGAGCAAGAACCACTCCCACCAAAACTGTAACTCACATTGCAGGCAAAATTGAAGGGAAAGAATAAAAAGAAACTTAGTATCTTAGCTGTCCCCTGTTTTTTACCAGCAGACTGAAAGGAACTGTGCTCACAGCCAGTCAAAGCCTTGATGTATCCCTACCTCTTGGCTTCTTACACTGTCCTGATTCACTGTCTGTCTCTCTCTGCAAGTCAGACATCAGACAGAACATGGAAACATATTGGACTAAGCTGCCATCAAATATCTGCACCACAGCAACATGGCAAAGATGAGCTGAATACACAGTTCAAAAGGTATTTGCATGATCTTAAGTGCACCATAGAGAAAAGTTCTGCTAATCAACAGTTAACAAACACTAATTTTTATAAAGCCACATACATAAAAGTTCATCTATCCTAACAACAGAAGTAAAATTAGATTCAAACCTCAATTAAAAAATGAAAAACAGCCTGTTATGATCTTCAATACACTGGAAGATTCCTTTTTTGAAAATCAAGCCTTCTCATGCTGTTGCACTAGACTATATTGTTAATGAGTTCTTTCATTCCTCTGTGCATGGTAATATATCTAATCCTTGCTGCATATTTTAAATGATTGATGTTCCCCTAATTACATTTTATGGTATCTTGTGCTACGCCACCTCTAATGAGAGCAAACATCCCATTACCTCTCTAGTGCTCAACCACAAAAATCAATAACTGACATTTATTCAATGAACTGCAAATTGTGACTCACCAGCTTCACTTTGTGTTCAGTAAATTTAAACTGCAATTAATTTTCATGCATATCACAAAATAGCAACTGCAGGCATGGACTAAGTTTTAAAGTGATTTGCTTCTTCTTTGGCTAATTACAACACAGTGAAACCTGTCTTGAGCCATCACGTAAAGGACTGAGAATAATCAATTGCTTAATAGAAATGATCTTCTCAACAAAGTTGGAGCACAATTATAATTCACACATTTGGGAATCCTTTGGAGCTATCTCTGAACAAACAGGGTTCTTTAATAAGAGTAGTCTCTTGTAGAGGTTATACTGGAAATATATAGGTGAACTCCCCTTAACTTCATCCCTATTGTGTATATTTGAATAAATAAAATGTACTGTAAAAGAATTGCAGCCTTGGATTTTTCCAAAGCTGAACTTTGCCAGATTTAATGCAGTACTCATAACATTAGCTTTAGCACATTAGCCACTTATTTATTTCCAAACAAAAATGCTGTCTTGTTTGATATACGACTAGAAAACTGACGTGCCCACCACTTGTTCTTTCTTTCAGAATTCCTACAGTTGGATAGCTTATATTTTCATTCCAGAAAATTTACACTCATCTATCAAAAGAAGACCTATTTGGGGAGTACCACTGAAGGCCTTAAAATACATACATATGAATAAATACAGAAAGGGTGAAATTCTAGCCCCACTGCAGTTAATTACGGAACTCCTACTGATTTCAGTAGGGCCAGGATTTCACCCTAAACTTCCAAGGCCCCTTTACATTAAAGGAGTGCACCATTCCCGGGGCAAATAGTACAGATAAGTATTGCAGCCATTTGCACCTGAAAAAATGCAGAGTTCCCACTAACCACCCTTCAGTGTGTCCCCACTAACCAGCTTGGTACTGCAATCTTCAGCATTTTCTCCACTCACTGTTGTAGCTGGCTCCTATCTCATATGTCCCAGCACAGCTCCCTAGCACATAGCATTGAGCAGGTAGTGTATTACATGCATTATATGTGTCATATAATTAGGATATATTTGATACAATTAACATAATACAGTGTATCTGCACTTGTTAGCATTATGATATATTTGGTTTTCAATGCTAAATTCCAACTGTTCCCCCCAGTAAACCAACCAGATCTGGCTATGTGTCCTGAAAGGCAAAAGTTACCCCCTCATACAACTGCATGCAGATACCATAGTTAAGGTAGCCAAGAGATGCTGGACAGGAAGGGGCCTGTGGCTGCACTGCTTTGCACCTTATGTAGTCATTTACAGATGTGCACAAGGAAAGGAAAGTAGGTGCAAAACTGTGTCAGGTCAGAATAGTGTCTTTTCATTCGCTCAGTGAACAAACTTTGACAGGTGTAATTGACTACACAATGTGTAAGGAAGTAGGGAATCTATTGTGGAGATGTGACAGATTGCTGAGGCCTAACAGATTGATGAGCACTCTAGTCACTGTGGCATCAATTATCTTCTCCAGTGCTGGCTGATTGAGGAAATAGGGAGGCATTAGCCAATCAGATGGGGAGGCTGGAACTAATTGGACCATCAACTGACTAGCTTGATAAAGGGCAAGAAGGAAACATTAGGGGGCTAGGGCTAGCTGTAGCTAGACTGAAAGAGAATCCTTTCCCTTCCACAGTCTGAAAACAATAGGGTCATATGCATTAGAACGGTTGTATTGTACTATACAGGTGTTGGTGGAGAGGACTTGAAGGAGTCTGATTGGTTTTTGTGGTGACCCAGGATAGCAGGCTGGGGGGATTGCCAAATGCCCTGTTACAGATGGATAGATCTGGAGTCTATTATGGTGGTCAATCCTCCTAGGTGAGAGTCTGAAATTAGTTTTTTGTTATTTTTTATGACTGGGGGACCATTTCTGAGACCCACACCGAGTTCAGGGGTTGAGTGGGGGCTGCAACCTCAGGCCTGGTTTTGTAGATGAACTAACATTTTCTTTCTCAGCCTAGCTAGTACTCCATATTCCTAGCTCTGAAAATAGTCTTGTAGAAGTTTGTATGAGTCTTTTGGGTAAGCAGAGTGCTAGAATTTATTTGGGGGAGGAATTAGCTCCTTGAATTTGTACACATCACATCAGTGGCTTTTCACTCATGTCCCTATTTTTGTTTTCTTGTACAGTATTTGAAAACAGAGAGATGTACTAGAGGCAGCTCCCAAACTGCACTATTAACAACCATTTGTGGCCCCAAAGCCAAATTTAACTCACTCTCTTTAATAAAAATTTTTACTGAACAGCACTAGGAGTCTGCTTTTCACTACAAATTGAGCTGACCATGTCTGAAAGGCAACAAACAGCTGCTGAAATGGCCCTTTGGCCTTTTGTGAAAAGCAATCTGCTTTATATGTAACTTCTCTCCCCCTCTCCAACTGCCTCCCTTCATCCCCATACTCACAGAAGATTTTATTTAACACTGATAATGTGGTAGAACCTACTGGCCAACCAAGCCTTATTAACTTTGTCCTCTCCACATCAGTGTTACTCTCTTACACACATACACACCTGTAGGGAATTGTTATGTGTGAATCAGTGACGCGGTACAAATTATGCCCTCCGGGGATTGAGATACAGCTGTGGCATCATCCAAAAGGCCCAACCAGCCCATGAGAATGTGATTTTTGAACATCAGTATCCACAACCAGATTAGAATGGCTCTTCATTACCCTGAACTACTCAGTCCTTCAACATAGATATTCTTCCTGATTATTTATTAAGAGCCCATGACTAAAGCCTTTATTCACACTCCTAAGAGTGTCTGCACTGCAATTAGCCACTCGCAGCTGGCCCATGCCAGCTGACTCAGGCTCACAGGCTTGGGCTAGATGGTAGTTTAATTGCGGTGTACATATTCAGACTGAAGCTGGAGCCTGAGCACCGGGACTCTACCCCCTCGCAGGGTCCCAGAGCCTGGGCTCCAATCCAAGCCCGAACGTCTACAGCGCAATTAAACTGCCCATTAGCCTGAGCCCCACAAGCCCAAGTCAGCTGGCACAGGGCAGCTGTGGGTTTTTAATTTTAGTGTAGACATACCCAAAGGCTTCTATCTTACCTCAAGGAGTCTGCCTGCCTCTTTCCAGTTACAGGATTGCAGCCTAAATTTGCATTTATTATTTGACAGCTAACACAAACATAACAGGTGTATCATCTGATAAATCAGGAAATAAGTATTTCATAAGAAACAGACACAGGTACACATTTAGCTTTTAAATGTACATCTAGATCTACACTTTTTATTTACATAACTGTTTCAATATAAAACATAAATCTTTGCTTTCCCCCATCCTTCTTTAGCAGAAGTAACTAGGTCCTTTAATATGATTTTTTTTATTTTGACTCTTTGGTAAATATAAAGGACAAATTTAGAAGGATGATTTGTCTAGACATTGATTGCTTTTGCCATAATTTAAAGTTATATTTGATTTTTGGGTGGGATTTCATTTACACATCTTAGCTGGTAACATTTACACATAAACACGAACACATTTAGTCCATTCCTATGACAGTTTTGGATGTCTTTACGTTGCTATGTCAGAATGACGTTGCTACTTCAGAGGCATTTGGGAGTAAAGTGTTCTGTGGAGGGTGATTTAGTCCTTTATACTGTCTTGACAGAGTGGTTGGTGGCACTGCTGGCCCACCACTTAGAACTCTTTCATATACACTTTGTAGTCTTTCAGTTTTAGGAATATTAACTTGATACTCTTTCAGCTTTGGCTGTTGTGGAAGAAAATTGGGCTTCCCGAGCTGAAGGATGGGCTGATAAATTGGTGTAGAATATGCAATCGTATAATCATTTTCATAATGCAATGGGATGGTTTTGCTTGTTTGGGACTGGTGGACATAAAATCTACAATATCTTTCTGTTTCCTTGTAAGTCCGTCCATCTGTACAGGCTGCAGTACCTGGAAGAGAAGTAATGTTTTAACAATCACACTTTTTTTTCTGGAATACAGTGATCTAATATGTTCTGTCAGAAGAGAAATATCAAATTCCCATAACTTTCACCAGCATTATGCAATTAGATGTGTTTATTTCTACCAAAAAGAGCTTTATATATTGAGAAAAACATATATACACTTCTGTGCTTGGTTAAGGGGCAGATTCCTATGTATTTCAATGGGAGCAACATCATGTCCTAAAATTAGGCTCGGATCCTACAAAGAAACACTTACACATATGAGTAACTGAACCCCAATTTGAGTTCAAGTGTTTCCAAGATCAGGGCTTTAGTAATGGCAAAGCCAGTGTGATACACAAGGGATTCGACAAGGAGCAATTTAACTATAAAAATATTTTATTTGTTACATAAAAAATATGAAGACAGAGCCCTAAAATTTCAAAAGTGACAAATGATTTTGGGTGTCTGATGCTCAACTTGAGACACCATAAAGTGTGGAATCAGCACTTTCTGAAAATCAGGTCCCTTTAAAGTGTGCTAAGTTAGGTACCTTAAAATTGAAGACCCAAAAATCACAGTTACATTTTGGCAAATTAAGACTAGAAGACCTGATTCTCCACTGGGTCATTCCAGTTTCATGCCTGTGTAACTTCACTGATCATTACTGCAGTGGTGATTCAGATCCCATGATCTCTGCCCCAAAAAGCTTACAGTCTAATGTTACAGTCTTTGTTAATACTAGATACATTTGAAGGGACAACATCATAGTTCAACTATCTTTTTATACATGTTGCCCTGAAGAGTTTGATGTTAAATTTATACTTACCAACTTTCTTTTCAGCTGACTGTGAAGGTGGCTTCTTTAACCCCTCCCCACTGATATCAGAATCACTATCATTAAACTCGCTATCTCCTTTCCCACTGTCTTTCACACTAAACTGATCAGGAGTTGAATGGGAGCTGAAAGCAAAAGGAAACCATTAGTGTATTGTCTTTTCCATACTCTGCCTGAATATGAAATTCTGTAAATGTCCAAAAATATTAAATGTAGGAAAAACACTATTTTACCTTAAACTCGAAGCAGATTCTCGCTCCTGCCAAAGAGACGGGGGATGAAAAGGAACAAGAACTTGACCCTGACAAAAGGAAGAAATAGCTATGTTAATACTTTTGCATCTCTCAATATAAAAATGATCCAACAATAATTTAAGCAGAATGTTTACTTCAAGTGGATGGATAATATGATTCTAACATATCAAATAAATAGAAATAATAATAATTACAACAAACAGAAATAAACCATAGCCAATATATATCAACAAAAACACATACAAATCTCTATAATAATACTTAGCTGTGATAGAACCCTTTTCATCTGTAGATCTCAAAACACTTTACAAAGGTGGGTACATACACTTATTCCTATTCTACAGATAGAGAAACTGAGATACAGAGAGGTGAAATACAGGCAGTAACCCAGTGGCAGATTCAGAAATCAGATCCAGATCTTCAGACTCCCAGTCCAGTGACCAATATGTCTACAAGCAAACAGATCTAGTTCTCCAATCACAAAAATGTCCAGAGATGAATCAAGCTGAATTGGCTAGGTGACCTCATGGAATGTTGTGTCAAGCGCTTACTACAAATTCTTGGGAGTTGAAAGGATGAATTCATTGCAGAACCGCTGAAAAGGAATCAGCTATGCTTACCTGGGAGTCTCTGCTCTTGGCTTTCCTCTCTTGGGCAGAATGACACAAGGACTCTCTGCTGCTGTCCTCGGCCTGGGAAGTGTCACTGGGGTTATCAGACTCGGCTGTAACAGAGAGCTGGCAGGAGTCTGCCTGGCCCGGGTAGGAGCTCCCTGCCTGGGAGCCTGAGCCCTTCAGCAGCCTGGCTTCCTTGCCTCTCCCCTGCTTTTCGGTCCCAGGTTGGAAGTGACTCTTGCTCCTCCTGCAGGTGGAGGCCACGGCAATGATAGCGATCAGCAGCAAGCCGCAGCCTCCGGCCAGCACAGCAATGAGGACCACGGAAAAGTCCAGGCTGGGCTGCAGCTGCAGCTCCTCCGCCGAGGGCTGTACGACCACGATCTCCACGCTAGAGGGGAGTGTGTCCGTGAGAAAGAGCCGAACGGCGGCTGTGCAGGACAGCGACGGCCTCCCGCCGTCGTGGACAGCGACGACAAGCGGGAAGGCCGCTTCCGAGGCCCCTTCGGGCAGCCTCCTCCGCAGGGCCAGCTCCCCGGTGTCCCGGTTCAGGGCGACCAGCGGGTGGGCGCCGCCCAGGAGGGAGAAGGAGAGCTCGGAGTTCGCGCCTTGGTCCGCGTCGCTGGCCGCGAAGCGGGCGATCAGGTACCCGGCGGGGGCGCTGACGGGCAGCGGCAGCTCGGCGGAGCCATTGGCCAGCGGCGGGGAGGTGATGACCGGGGCGTTATCGTTCTGATCCACCACCCGGAGCCTGAGGCGGGCCCGCTGGCACAGCTGCGGGGCGCCCCCGTCGCAGGCTTCGATCTCCACCTCCACCAGCGGCAGCTCCTCGCAGTCCAGGGGCTGCCGGGCGCGGACGGACCCGCTGTGGGGATCCACGGAGATCAGCGCGGACCGGGGGCCGCCGCCCGGGCT